CTTTATTTCTTCATCAAATTCAATGATTGAGCCCTCATTTCCAAGACGTTCTTCTTCTTAAGGTGGAATAGTCACGTCTACTTTTATTTCGTATTTCGAGCCTATTTTTTTAAAATCCTTCACGAGATCTCACTAAATAATTTGTACCATCAAACTTAGAAATATGTACCACCGTTCCCTTGAAAAATAGTTACATACTTTCTTGAAGACAAACCAAACACATAACCCAGCTTTCGCCTTGTAGTCAAGTAAAAATGTGTTATCGTCGATTTTGAAAAGAACTAATTCAAAATGATCAAAACTAGAACCTTCTAATATCGGTGTCGACGGTGTTGCACATTCAATAGGAGGTGGAGACGAAATAACTAATTATGAGGTACTAGAGCAACAACAATATACACATCTCAATCCTAAACTCATCATTATACTATGTTATAAAAATTCAACAATTCTTTCACCACCAAATTCCTCCTCCATATAATGCCCTAAATTTCATCAGTTTAAAATTTGCCCCATGAAAACTCCTTCTGGACACTGGCTAATAACAGTGAGCGACGCTTTACCGTACAGTTTTTTCAAAAATGATTGTTTTTAGGATTTATAGGGTTTTATGGTCTTGGAAGATTAGTTAGTCTTGGTACTCCCGACAAAATCATTAACACCCGTTTCGTCTCATACCAAACCGTTGACCGAGCACCGCGAAAGGTGAATTCTCCCACCTTTTATATTCAATTTCATTAAAGACCTAGTAAAAATTTGAAATCAAAATTAAGATTCGTACATTCTCAAATTCTCTTTCCATTGAACCCACATGCCTTAAAATTCATCGCTCCTGAGTACCGAAAAAGTTTTCACTATTCAGAAATAACATTTTGTTGATATTGGAAAGACCGAACGCAGATTTCATACTAAAGGGAGAGGCAAGACGGAAAATTTTCTTCGGAGAAGTTTATTATTATTAAAATTTATAAATATTATTATGTGGAATACAATAGAATAACAACTTTTGGGGGCGGGGTGGCCGAATGGGCTAAAGCGTGTGCACAGATCTAAACCGCGAGTTGCCTGGCAACCGGATAACAGACTTGAGAGATTAAAAAAGTACGAGTTCGCGTCCAGGTGCCGAAGGTGATTTTTCCCGCCTTCACCCTCCGACCCTGGAAATTCCCGTATAGCCTAAAAGGAGAGGTTGGGAAGAACAGATAAAAACACTTTTACAAATTAATTTCCTTCAATTTGTGTATGATGTTATGTTTTATTTTCTTTGAAATTATGTAGACCTAATTATTATTATCATCATTATAAATTATCAAGTAATTATAATTATTTAGCCTGTCCTCCCCAGCGTTATTAATAAAATGAAAGAATTAAATCTAATTTAACGCATTCATACTTTTACTTTCACTTACATATATGTAATATATAGTAAGGGAAAGTATTGCGATCGTGAAAACTTTCCGAATTTGTTTTCAACTGAAATACATGTTTTGAGGTTCCCTTAGTCCAAATAATCAAGTTCGGCAAAATGTTCTGTGTGTTTGTGTGTCTGTGTGGATGTGAACAGCCTAGCTCACAAGCGAAAAGTCGTACGAAACTTAAATTGTGTACTTAAGGTTTTTATATAGTTCTGATGTGACAGTAACATTTCCGTTAAAATCGGCTAACCGGAAGTGCCATTTTATATTAGCGGTGAAACACATTTTTACAATTTTCTCAAAAACGGCTCTAATGATTTTGAATAAATTCGGTGTATCATCCTAAATGCCAAATGTTCATATACGTCTTCCTCTAAAGTACCTCTATTATAGATTATTAAAAAAATTAACTCTCTTTTATTGACAGTAACTACAAAAAATGGCTAAATATGAAGTTTGAAAGAATATGGCTATTGGAAACTGGAGAAAAATAGAAAAATGCTTATCCAGGTTGAAAATCAATCTGCGGAAATAACAGTCAGATTGTATACAAGTAATATATCGTTGGAAAGCGAAGACTTTTAGAAAAAATAATATCAAATAAATAAAGTTGTAGAAGATAACGACGAGTGACGAAAAAAATATAAATAATGATTTCCGAAAATTAAAATTATTTAATCTAAATCATATTTTTCCAAGGTAATGAAATGAAATTATCTTACTAAATGTAAACTATTAAATTGTTTTCTAAGTAAATTAAAAAGTATTTAAAATTCACTGAATCAAGCCAATACCGTTGTTTAAAATACTATCTCATTGTACTTGTGAGAAAGAAGGAGTGAAATATGACATATTTCATGGATATGTTTATAACCTTAAATATATCTACTGTAGTTTAATAACTCTAGATCTGATATTATATTTAAATAATTAGGTATCTATCTGCCGTTTATTCCAAAAAAATCATCAAATAACCTTTTAGAAAATTTAATTAGTGAATAATTTGATGAATTTTCCTTTTGCGAAATCCCAACATTATCCACTTAATTTAGTGTGACAACTTTTGTCTTAACCATGGCAGGCAATGAAAATCTCGTAATATCATTTTAATAAACATTACAACGGAAAATAACAGCTTAACAACTATTAGTCCTACAATTGATAATCATTTTTAGGTTTAATATTCAGATGTACTTTCAAATCTCTCTAGGCATATACGATCCTTTCGGTTGACAGGAATGTTGAATGACTAACTCCAATTTCAACATTCTTTATTATTAATTTTAGTGATGTCAATAGTGGTAAAACAGGCATAACCTTTATTCACAGTTCTATATTTCAACACTCCAATAACCTGATCTGGATTCAACTCACTGTCTGTATAGAAATAACTTTTCCAACTAGAAGTATCACTAAAATGATATTACTCAAAAATGTTGAAATTGGAGTTAGTCATTCTGTCAACTGAAAGGCTCAGAAACTAAATTTGTGTGGTTTATAAAAGCAGATGGAGTAAATAGATTTTTATTGCCTACTTACGATGCAATAAGTAGATTTTATGTAATTTTAATGGTCTTAAAGCTTTAGCTCAATTTAAAATGCAATTATAAAAAAATGTCAATTAGTAAAAAAAAAAAAAATGTCTATTCAAAGTAGAGCGGCAAGTGAAAGTTGAGTGTTGATTTTTTTTTTGAAGATCCTAACAATAGAAACAATGTCATGTATATTTATCCATAAAGATTATCTATAGGTTATCAAAAATTTTAATTATATCTATTATTCTTAGCCATATATCTGCATATATACTCCATATATCCTCATTTTGTTTATTATCATCATCATTTCTACATTTTTTCTTTGAAAACTACCTTAGTCAGACGTTTAAATAAAATTGCAAACACTTCTCCCATTTACTATACGCCTATTCTCCTATCCCCTCCCCCTACCCAAATCTTCTAAATCCGCTGGAACGGCTTGCACAAAGTCAACTGATCAACTTCCTAGAAGAACGCTCTCTCATTCACCCTCGTCAATCAGGCTTTCGATCTAGATAATAAACATGATCTGCTCTCCTAAAAGTAACCCAGGAACTGCGAAACTCCATTGTACGTCAAAGACTAACCTTCCTCTTCCTTCTTTATTTCTGCAAAGTATTTGTTGTTGCCGACCTTTGTCTTCTCCTCACCAGACTACAAAATCTTTTAACCAACAGCGCCTTGTGGATAACATATTACATCAACACAGCATGTAGCTGTTACAGGTCAACCTCCTTCCCAGACGCTTCCCCTCACCTGTGGAATCCTTCGAGATTTTACCCTATTTTATGCTAACGCCTTACAAATGCACCTTTCTTTGCCACCTCCGAATCTATTACCAGCCACAAAAAAACTAGGAGAGGACTTGAATCGAATTAGTGAGTGGGCAATCATAATAGATTCCAATCACCTTCTTAATACTGTTCTTATTATCCAAACATTGTTACTAAGTGATAATCCCATAAAAGTCTATCATCTCATAAAAAAAAAAATCAGAATAACATTTGATCAAACCCTTTCATAGAAAAAAAAAAACCGTGACAGACATTTCTTGTCATGTCTTTTTCACATTAAAGTGACTAAATAATCTCCATCACCTCTTTACATTTGAAACCAATAGGCTTCTTCCTGGATATAACCCCACTTTGACTACTGTTTTGTGGGCGTCTCTGGGCATCTTGAGACAAGACTAAAACGTTTGATAAATTGCTTCATATGAATCAATATTGCCATCTCAAGGGGTACCTCTGTTGCCCATGTTTATGAAGAATTGAAATGGCTTTATCGGTCCTACCGTCATAATTGCTTCCTTGCATCCTTCCTCTTCCAGGTTATTCAACTCCATCGTCCCTCACACATCTCTGAAATCCTTCAATTCAAATCTTCTATTTTATCCCGTTATACCCGCTCCCTTAATTTTTGTAATATTCTGTTTTTTAAAATCCCAATGTTTTCAACGACTTATTAAAGTTTTACGGGAGTTCAGGGACCAAAATTGAAATTCGTCCCTTCTTCATGAAATTTTCTTTTGTTTGATTCCTCATTCATCAAAATTCTTCGCTCCTAAGACCCGGAAAATGTATCTATTACCGTGTTATATATAATGTAAATTTTCTGTAAATATAGTGTGAATGTACAGTACACTATTACTAGAAAGAATGTTTATTTTATGTTTAAAATATAACAAATTTTAATTATAATTATTTTGTATTACGCTATAACACCAGTACGTACGTATCAGTATCAAGTACATTTCCCTTATTATCAAATAATTTATTTCTTTAATGAACAAGAAATATGTTTAATAAGCATTCAGCGCTATAAGTATTCAACGTACAGCACGGAAATATGTGATTACTAAAGAAGTAAAAGGACAAAACCTTAAAGCAATGACCAGTAGAGAGCGCTCTCTTGCGTTTCCAGCTGCTAAGTTGTAATAGGTAACATCAAGTAGTATTGCATAATTAATTTTAAAACAATCAACATTCACCAAACTCAATTTTTAATAGGAATCGATCGATTAGTAGTTATTAAAGATCTAGGATATTACCTGTCAGAAGTATATTATAGATGGAGTGGGGACCAGACAGGACACGCCTTCAGTAGATAGAACGCTGCAACACGAAACGACTTGCCGAAGGTTTCTCCCGGCAAATATCGCAATCGAAGGCCGTCTACAAGTCTAAAAACACAACGCGTCATGAAGAAGTACCCTTTTCTTTATTTATTTTAGTTTATAATTTATTTGGACATAAGTATTTCATAATATAACATTTTCTTCTTTATCAACTTATTATTGTTGGAAATGTTCCAACTGAATCAATCATTTTATTTTATTAATGAATGTATCATATTTTATAGTTTTACTTCAAATAAACTTTGTATAACAGGTCAATTTTAAGTTGGACAGCAAAATTTAAATGTATACATATATACACATGGGAACATTTGGGGAGATACGGGTGATCAATCAATCATTCACTAAATTTAAATATTTAATAGCTGGAATCTAATATCTATGCAAATTTACAATTATTAACATTGAAGTTTAAATTTAGTGGGTGAAATCTACATCAAAGAATTTCAGGTATAATGAGTAAATCATCTTTTAGGACTTAAATAAAAATGAATGTAAAGAGTGAGAGAATTCAAACAAAGTAACGTAGCTTAATAATTATTATTAATAACAAATAATACCGTAAATTATATGGTTAACTATAATAAATTTTATAAAAACATATGGTTGCTATAGGAAAATTCTATTGATAAACTTAATTTTAAAAAAATCATTGTTAATTATTATAAAAAAAAAAGAATGAATACCTTAAAGTTAATTAAGTTCTTTCATTTGTATTTTCCTTCTCTGAATCCACTATATGTGTGCAATATATTGCTTCTGAATATTAAACCGATTTTCAGTATTAAGGAGTAATGGATTTTAACGAATGAGGGAATGTTATAAAAATAATTTTATGTATAATGTGCAAATCGTAATTTAGATTCTTAATTTTCGACTATGATAATTTTGCGCATGCACTAGGTTTTAACTAATCACATTTCACCTGGCATCCTAAAATTTCTTTTTATAGAAGAAACCATTGTGATTTTTTACTTTAACTTTGGTGAAACTCATCTATGAAGTGGTGCTGATACATCATGGGCACAGTTTTAGTAAGTAAAATTAGAGCCGAGAAGTTATATCATCATATCAGCTGTTCCATCCAGTTCATCACCTACGGCTTCGTTCGTCAAGGTCATGCTGACGTATTATTAGTTTTTTTTAGTATTTTCACTTCTTTTTTTATGAGATATGCGATTATACCACCAAGTCATGTCTATTAAGGCCCGTACTAAGAGGTCTCGGCCAGTTAGCTCTAACCCTCGTGGTTCACCTGCTAAACAAAGAACTCGTCGCAATCAAAGAAGAACTCTTCCAGTGACACCAGCGAATTCCATAGAGCCTGAACTTCAGACTTCAGGAATCTCCTTTCTTCACACGAAACCCGTACCATGTGCTTCAAAATGATAAAAAACTGGTATGAAAACCTTAAGGCTCTTAGAATTTTATTATAGTTTCCTAAAAACAAAATGTTAAAAATAGAAAAAGATTTAAGGGGCTAAATATTTTGTTTTTAAATCTTCTCATAATGTCATAATTATTCGTCTCTATCGGCTAAAATACGAAACAAATATTCAACAGAACAGCACTAGATGTTTTCCCAGCAGCTCACCTTAGGCTATACAGAGGGTTTCTCCGGGCCAGGAGAGAGTACGGAGGATTAATATGAGAGTTAAATGCCCTTCCGGCACCGGATCGTCAAGTTGTAATTATTTTATTAATTAGTTTCTGTTTATCAGATTGCCGGGTTATACGGTTGTGTGAACACTCGTTAGCTTACTGAGCCACCCCACGCCCCTCTGCGAAAGTGTTAATGAGGAATCTACTGAACAAATTCTTACAATTTGCCAGTTACGAAATGGTCATCTAAATGTTAAACAAAGTTCCCCTCCCTTCCCTGATAAATGTTGCGCTAATTAAATTTGCTCTTGTAGCTAAACAAATATTCTTCTATCCCTATTTGCATAATGGCTTAGCAAGGTGTTTTAAAGAACAAAGGTGCTACAATTAACTTAGTAAAGAAACATTTTTTAGTGTACTCATATCTCATATTTTGAGCTTTAAAAATGAGAATCAGAATAATTTTAAATCATAAAAAAGAACATAATCTATCTCTTCGGTCAGTCACTATACCAATTGTTTTTAATAATTTTTTAATTTATTGAAATTAACAACTGTGACAAAGCTTTAAACAACGTCTCTGTCAACTAATCATTACAACATGCTGTTTCTTTGCGAAGAAAGTGTTCATTGGTGATGCTTTATTGACTATTTTATCATGGAAGATTCCGTGGCCATGTTTTTTTACAGGCACCTCGAACCGTTATCCGAATTTTATTAGAGGAAGAATGTATCTTTATGGAGTTAATAAAGGATATATATATATATAGTTAATAAAGGATATATATATATATATATATATATATATATATATAATATATATATATATATATATATATATATATATTTCGATGAAATTTAAAGGATTAATTTATTTCCTTCCTCACTACCAAAAGTAGCTAAGCTTTTATTTATGCGAGAAATTAATAAAAAGATTGTCTTCAGATTTAAAAGTTTTCCAATCCATACCGTCATTCCTTGGCTGGAGATTTGAATGAGATACGCACGGACGTTACCACAAGCAAGTTGAACAACGTAATGTTTGTGTTTATAACCAAGTGCTCCTGTTTATTTGCTGCTGACAATAACAATAAGGTCGAATCTCAGCCTGGAATCTCAGTTTTACGCAATGTTGGTGATATTCATATCATTTTAGTTAGTTGTATTTAATTAACTTTTTTTGGTTAGGATGTATGCAATTTGATCTGAAATCAATATTTTGTTAATTTTATTAACATACAGTGGTGTGAAAAAGTCTTTGAACAAACAAATGTTTTTTAAAAATGGTTTAATGTTTCAATTAAAAAATTTTATCTTCTTAATTATAAACTGATTCAACCTTGTAGACATTGTAGATGTAATATATATTTAAATTAGTATTATTTTCAATTAAAACAAGCTCCAGATACCAATCCGTTGTGTTGACTTTTTTTTTATCTTCTAAATAATGCTACCTTATTGTTTAAATTTCACTACTTTGTTATACACTTCATTCTTTAATCTTTATTATTAATGTCAAGAGTCGTTGTATAAACTCTAGAAAGCTGAGTATTATAATAATAATAAAAGGCTTAGCGAACTCGAAGGTTCGATGCCGACACCATCAATCGCAGTCTACACACCTCCCTCCACCGGTCCCCATCCGAACCCAACCCCACCAGATCAGCTTTAACGTAATCTTCCTATCCTCGCTTAGGTCTATTCCTCGAACATTTACCAGTTGGTTCTGTGCAAATTAATCTTTTATGAATTCTTTCGTTACTAAACCCAACAATTTTATAAGCCCGTTTAATTCCCCGCATTATAATTACTTTAATTACAACGGATACAGTCCACTCAATTCAGCATTGTGTAACCGTCTAAATTCTTCGTTTGACTGACTCATCCATCTTCTGTCCAAATATTTTTCAGAATATTTTATTTTCAAAAACCTTAAGGCGTTGCCCTTAACGCAAGCGGCTACGTTTCGCATCCATAGAGAACCGTAGGAAAGATAATGGTACTGTATGTTATAATTTTTAATTTTCGGGACAGGAGTTGCGAGCTAATAGTCCATTCAATAAAGGAGGTATAGAGTGCCTGGGCAGCGACCTATGCGAGAATTTAGGGGATATCGATAGAAGGTAATTAATATGTTCGAACACGAAGAGAAGATTAGGTATCTAGGGTCTACGACAGCTAAAAAAAAAACAAATTGAAGAGGAAATTAAGGTTAGGCTGAAGGCGGGAAATGCTTGTTATTTTTCTGTGACAAAACTACTTATAGTACAGTTAATGAATGGCCCAAAAGGGGCGGAGGGAGAGGATAGAGTGCGTGAGCAGAGACCTAAGCGATTCCTTCAGAAACTTATCCAGAGTGCTTAGGGTAGGTGTTGAGCCGAGGGAAGAATACGTCGGTACGTCGCAAAGGAAATTTTTCGGATCCTACCTCTCTGACCGCTCCTTTCGAGTTTGCTGTGGAACAGCATTTTTCGATATCTATCCAATTAAACCGGTGCTCTCCAGGACAGCATCTTGGGTCCCATGCTCCCTGCTCACTCCGATATCTTCTTTCCTGATGACACCGCAATGCTATCATCCTACTCAGATCCCAAAATAGTATCCTTAAATTTACAAAGGTATCTCTCCCTGAGTTTACCCTGGTGGAATAAATGGCACAATATTGTGAATTAATCAAAATGAAAACATATTATCTTCCCGCTCCGACGCAATTCCTGTTCACCAGTACACTTTAATTCCATCCAGCTTCTTTACTCAGACACAGTCCGGTATCTTGGCTTTCTCTTAGACAGACGACTAACGTGGAACCCTCATATTTCACTTAAAGGACAGTAACTTAACCGACGATACAGCCAACTATACATCCTATTGACCAATTAGCCTACTCCAATCCTTTCAAAAATCTATGAAAAGATCCTTTTGAAACGACTCCTACCCCTCATAGAATCCCAAAATCTTTCTCCCTATCAGTTTGGTTTTCGCTAAAACAATCCACTGTTGAACAAAGACTTTGAGTTCTTGATCATATATCAGCAGTCCTAGAAAACAAGCAATACTGTTCGGCTGCATTTATGAATATATCAGGTTTCCGGTAAACGGCGGTGCTGTGCGCACTCGCTAGCCCGTTCGGCCACCCCGCACACATGGCACCCGGACTGCTCTACAAGCTTAAAACCCATCACCCTCAGTCCGTCATTATACCTAATCCTTCGATCCTATCTCTTTGACCGCTCCTTTCAGGTACGCTGCGGAACAGCATTTTCCGATATTTATTCAATTAAAGCAGCCGGTGTTCCCCAGGGCAGCGTCTTGGGTCTCGTACTTTACATCCTCTTTACCGCTCATTTCGAAATATTCCTTGCAACATTAGCTGATGACACCACAATCCTATCATCCAACTCAGATCCTGAAATAGCACTGATTAAGCACTGGGCTGATGAATG